CCCCCTTGTGCCCCCCCCCCACGAAATCACATTTTGCCCCCCCCAGGAAAAGTCCCTTTTTCCTAAAATTATACAAACAATCCAGCGAAGATTAACAAATAGATAAACGGAACGTAAGTTTTAGGCTTTATCCTTTGTTCTTGTTTAACAAAATCGATTTAAATTGTTACTTTTTTACCACTAAGCCATGATAAATTATTGTTAATATTTTTTTTATTTTTTGGATGCTCAGAATGCAGAAAATAGCATTTCACGGTTTCAAATTTCAAAAATTTTCTTGGGATTATCCCTCTAATAAGTAATGATAAATTACAGTTAATATTCTTTTTTACTTTTTGTGCATTTTTCCATCTTTTATTTCAAATACAACTATAGTTAGCATAAATTTTAGAGCAAATTTGGATGCTCAGAATGCAGGAAATGGCATTTCCGTGGTTCAAATTTCGAACATTTTCTGGGGGAGTACACCCCCACACACCTGACCATTGCTATTCTCCTCTAATAAGTAATGATAAATGATGGTTAATTTTTTTTTTTACTTTTTGTGTGTTTCTTCCTTTATTTATTTCAAATACAAGTATAGTTAGGATAAATTTTGGAGCAAATTTGGATGCTCAGAATTCAGGAAATGACATTTCTGGGAGTCAAATTTCAAACATTCATGCGTGGTATATTTGCCACACACATGGCTTTCAGCCATTGCTATCCCCCTCTAATATATTATCTCACAGAAAGGTCCCTTTTCAAAAAATGCCCCCCACGGGAAAATCCTTAAAAAAGGCCCTGTAACCTATCCAATTGTATTAGTATCAGCATACTCCAATCTCCATCAAGCTTGAATAACAATATTCATAATATTCTTTTGACAAACATTCGTTCATTGAGGAACAAAGTTGACGAACTTCAACTTGTTGTTAAACATAATTCAGCTGATATTGTTAGTTTAACAGAGACATGGCTAACTGATGAAATAATTATACCCTGCTATATTTTTTTCAGAAGTGATCGTCAAGATCGTTTGGGGGACGGCGTTGGTATGTATGTTAAGAATTCTATCCCAGTTAAAAGATTATTGGAGTACGAAGCTGTCGACAGGGAGTCGTTGTGGTTGGTGTTAAGACCCCCACGTCTTCCTCGTCAAGCTTCATTGGTTTTGTATGCGGTAATTTACCACACCATTGCCTCCAATTCCCAGGATGACTCTGATTGTCTAGCCTATATTCAAACTAATTTTGATTCGTTTGTGAATGTCCACCCTGGTGCTTTAGTTGTGATAACGGGCAATTTCAATCCTAATTTCAACAATGTGAATGAAAAACTTGTTAAACGTCAAACTGGACTTAAACAATTAGTCAAAGTTAACACACAGGATAGTGGTGTGTTAGACTGGTGTTTAGTGAACAAACAGAATCTTTTCTCTGCGCCTACTCAATTACCGAAGATTGCTTCTAGTGACCACCATACTATATCCATTGTGGCGAAAAATAACCCGCCCACTGGTACCGCTAACGCAAAACAGAATGATCCAGCGTTTAGGCGAGTTTTAACGCAAAGTAATTTTCATCGTTTTGTCCAATGGATGCGCTGGCGCTGTCCATGCCTGTTTCCCCTTTAAACGGGTTAAAGCTCTGGTGTGTGACAAACGGTGGCTAACATGTAAATTAAAATTTCTTATTGGGAACAGGCAATTCGCATTGGCAAAATTTGGTTGTGTGTCTGAAGAATTTAAGTTTTGGAGAAACAGAGTCAAAAATGACATAAAGGTATCGAAGGCGAAGTATTACAGTTCGTCTGTGCAACATCTAAGAGAATGTAATATTTCTCACTGGTGGCGCCATGTCAATAAGTTGTCCACCCAATGCCGGAAAAGTGATTGGTATCACCAATTCATTAACGAGGAAACCCCATCATTGGATAATTTGTGTCAAAGAATTAACAACGCCTTTGTTAATATTTCATACAACTTTTCCCCGCTCGATCATTGCCCGAATAGCCCTTCTATCCATGTTCCTGATGAGCTGTTAGTTCAAGTAACGAGGTCTTTTGTGATCTATCATGCATCAAAACCCGCTCAGCAATTGGTCCTGACGATATACCCAGCCGTGTCCTAAAAGACTTTGCTTTCGAATTGGCTCAAGTTTTGGCGGATATTTATAATTCCAGTATGAAGCAAGGCGTTTTCCCTGAACAGTCGAAGGCATCGATCGCTATCCAATTACCTATGTGTCATCCCCCATAAGAAATAAATTCAGACCTACGTCCAATATCGTTGACTAACCAAGTTGCTAAGATTATGGAGGGTTTCACACTTAAAAGGTTTTCCGGCGATTTACTTCCTATGCTGGACCAATTTCAGTTTGCTGTTAAAGGAAAATCTACGACTCAGGCCCTGGTCTATTTAATGCATAACAATTCTGGACCATTTGGAAACTGGTGGTTGCTCGATCCGGCTTTTTTCCCGATTTTGCAAAGAGCTTTGATCTAGTCGACTATAGCGTTCTCCTTCTCAGAACTGAATTGCTTTGGGGCGAATCCCGTTCTTCAAAACTGGGTTTCGGCCTTTTTGTATAAAAGATCTCAGGGTGTTAGAATTGGCAGTTCCAATTCCGAATACAGATATCTTAATGGTGTAATTCCTCAGGGGACGAAGCTTGGGCGCATTGTTATTTGCCGTGCTCGTCAACTCGTTAATAAATTCATGGCACTATCGAGTTAATATGTTGACGACCTGACCTCACTGGAAATAATTCCTCGTAACTCTCCGAGCCTTACGCCTTTTTCAGTTAATGAGGTTAACCAGCATGCTGGTGCCAGGCATATGAGATTGAATCCGAAAAAGTGCAAATAAATGCGTATCTGTTTTCTTAAGTATAGATCACCAATTGGCGGACAGCTGTTAATTGGTGGTCATCCAGTGGATTTGGTTAAGCATTTCAAACTATTGGGAGTTTATATGTCAGATGATCTATTTTGGAACAAACATGTTGGCTATATTACCAAGAAAGGTTTCAAAAGGTTATATGTATTGAGACAATTGAAAATTGCTGGCATATCAGATAAAGACATGGTTCTCATTTACATTTCTTTTATTCGATTGGTGCTTGAGTATGCTGCCCCCGTTTGGGTCAATTTACCGCAGTATCTATCTGATGATGTCGAATCCGTTCAACGAAGGGCATTAAAAATAATTTTCCCAGACTTCGACTATTTTCAAGCCTTAGAATCCTCTAAACTGCTTCAGTTACCTAATCGCAGAGATCGTATTTGTGAATCCTTTATGGCTCAACAACGAAATTCAAGCTCTGTGCTGTCTAAGATCATTAACACTAATTACGAATCTACCATCACTCATTCGTGTTCATTACGATCGCAGTCAAGGAGATTAAACAATGTCCAAACAATCGTAAAAACTAACTGTCTCTGCGATTAGGTAACTGAAGCAGTTTAGAGGATTCTATACAGTATATATATATATATATATATATATATATATATATATATATATATATATATATACTGTATAGCGTTTCCGCCTTATGGGCCTCAACAGTGTAGTGCTGATGAGCAGGATGAAAGTAATTGCTATTTACAGTTAGCTTTGATGCCTCACGATTGTGGGACACCAAAACCATGCCAGTTTTTCCAAGTTAAGTGCTCTTCGATTGTTAGACCTAACGACTTTGTAGATTGAACTTTTTTTATCTTTTCGTTGTCTACAAAGAAATCTAATTCGTTGGTTTCACTGAAGGTTGCAAGTCTTTGACGGGAGCCAATGACCATAAGTTTGGTTTTTGCAATATTAAGTCTTATTTTGTTGGATTGTAGCCAGGTATTTACATTGATAAATTCCGCATTCATTGCGTCTTCCAACTCAGAAAGATTATGGCTATGAAAAGTTATGTTAGTATCATCGGCATACATTTTTGCTAAACCGTCATTCATACAATTTGGCAAATCATTAATATAGATCAGAAACAAGAGAGGTCCAATTATTGACCCTTGCGGAACACCATAAGTATAAGAACGGCTACTGGATAGTGTATCATTCACCAAGCACCTTTGCTTACGATCAGACAGATAAGATTTAAACCAGCCTAGAGCACTGCAATCAACTCCATAGCATTCAAGTTTATTTATGAGAATTTCGTGATCAATAGTATCAAAGGCCTTTTTTAGGTCAATGAAAATAACTCCATTTACCAGGGGCCGGTTGTACGAAAGGTGGATAAGTTATTCAGTGGATAAGTCCTATCCAATGGATAAATCTCTTATCCAATGGATAGCTATCTGCCGAATAAAAATGCGTTGTACGAAGCACGGATAGCAGGGTGGATAGCTGTCCGTCGGATAACCTTAATTTTAAGGATTTTTCTTGAAATTTCTTATCTCTACGCCAGCTGTTGCTAGGTATTTGTAAACTTTTGTTGTAGTATCTTCGTATAATTTGTGAATTCCACTAACCTTTGAACTATTAACTTGCAATAAAGGTTTTTTGTTCATGTTTATATTTTGGAGTTTTTCTCGTCCAATCGTTGCAATACTTCGTTTTCCCACAGTGAAGAGTTTGCTATCTTCATATCGATATTTCTTTAAAAGATTTTTGGCTTCTTTGTGCGAAGGCAATAGCAAAGACTGCGAGTTTTGTTTTCTTGTTTCAGTACATTGATATTTGTTCTATGACTTTTCACGTCATTCAAAACAATTTTAAGAACATTTTCTCGCACGATTTGATTGGCTGATCAAGGCCAGCGAACAAAATTTTTCGACTTTCGGTGCCTTGTTGTCTATTTATATGCAGCTATATTTGTTTGGCGTTGAAAGGAACTCATTTAATGAAAGTTTTATTGCTTGTGTTTGAGCTATATAACAGAAAAAAAAGAAGGAAAAAGGCCAGAAAACGTAACGTCTAAGCACTGACACAGGTCTGCATATAATATGGCAAAGTCCTGGCATTATTTAATGGGCAAGTGACTCAAAGTGAGCTCGATACGTCTGAGTCTGACAAGAGCAAGAGAAGTCGTAAGTAAGTTTCCATGTTTATTTAGTGTCAAAAAGGGACTTCTAAACGGTATTTGTCCATTTCTATCACCATGTTTTATTTATTATAATTAATTAATTCTCCAAACATTTGATTTTTCAGATTAATATACATGTAAATTATATCTAAATTATTCTATTGTATATTTACAGTTTAAATTCGTTAAAATTAGATAAGTTCATTAAGATTTCAAAAGAAAGAGTTCAAGCAGATAGTTATAAAAATTACTTTTAAAGTCTTTACAATTGTCATATACAGTAATGTTACTAGGTAGAGAGTTCCACAGGGATACTGCTCGGTATTCAAATGTTCGTTGTCCGGCCGCCGATCTATAAGCTGGAATGTTTAATTTAGTTTTTGTTTATTTCTGGTGTTTCTATCGTGTAAAGATAATCTCTCCTGAAAATATGAATTGAGATAGTCAGGGGATAGTCCATTCAAACATTTGAACGTTAGAACGCCAACAAAGTATTTTAACATGTCTGGGACAGGTAGCCAATTCAGTTGTTTGAGTATTGGAGTAATATGCTCATATTTTTGTGTTCCTGTGATTATTCTCGCCGCGAAGTTTTGCACTTTTTGTAATTTTTCTATGTTCTTCTTAGTCGTACTGGACCATACGTTTGAGCAATAATACAATTTGGAAAACACTAGGGACAGATGACATTTTCCAAAACCTTAGGGTCAAAAAGATGTTTAACCCTGTTTATTTGACATAAGCTCGCAATACAAGTAGAAACAGTGTTTGCTATATGTTCGTTAAAACTTAGTGTAGAATCAAGTTGAATCCCAAGATCGCGTGCTGAAATAGTGGGAGTAATCCTTTTCTCAAGTAATGTCACATAAAAGTCATCCGGTAATCGTTGCAACATTTTGTATGTTCCTAGTACTAACACTTTGGTCTTGTCTGGATTAATTAGTAGACTATTGTGACAACACCATGCTGTGATTTTTGACAGGTCTTCATTGATATTCCGCATAATATCATTGAAGACCTGTCAAAAATCACAGCATGGTGCTGTCACAATAGTCTACTAATTAATCCAGACAAGATCAAAGTGTTAGTACTAGGAACACACAAAATGTTGCAACGATTACCGGATGAGAATCCCTTTTAAATGAAATACACATTGTTTTGTCTTCAAACTTTCAGTTTATCCGCCGGATAGTGGATTTAAACTACATCCGGACCTCGGATAAATTTATCGAACGGATAGTGCATTTTATCCGTTGGATAGCGCTATCCAAACTTCGTACAACGCGATTTTCACTCCGGATAAAATTTATCCACTGGATAGGGACTTATCCACCGGATAGAGATTTATCCACCTTTCGTACAACCGGCCCCAGACCATTATCGATATTTACGCACCAGTCATTAGTCGATTCGAGTAGAGCCGTTACAGTGCTGTAAGTAGGTCGAGATCCCAATTGTTGATGCGAGAATAGATCATTCACTGACAAGTACTCGTAAAATTGATCATATACGATTTTTTCGAAAACTTTTGCAACTCTTGAGATTATGGAGATTGGACGATAATTATTCAAATCTGATTTGTTACCATTTTTAAATATAAGAACAACCCTGGCCAATTTCCAATCACGAGGATAGATGCCCGGGGATAGTGATTTGTTGAATAGTTTGGTTAAGGAAGGTGCTAAAATATCGGCTGCAATTTTTAGTAGTTTACCCGGAAGATTGTCCAGACCAGTAGATTTTGCAACGTTTATATGCTTTAGAAACTGCCTGACTTTATCAATATGAATTTCTTGAAATGAAAAAACACAATTTTGCCTTTTAATGTACTGAATAGGATTTACATTGGATTTACTAATGTCATTCGCTAAATTTTTGCCAACATTGGTGAAATGAAAGTTAAAGGCATCTGTAATTTCTGAGGCCTCTGTAATTACATTATTATCATCTAAATTAATTTTGCTAACATTGCCCGGCCTGCTTTGTTTACGAGAGGTCAGTTCGTTAAAAAGCTTCCACGTTTTTTTAGGGTCGTTACCTGCAGCTTCAATATTAGATGTAAAATGGTTACGTTTTGGTTGCTTAATGAGATTATTGGTTTCGTTACGAGCTTTTTTATATTGATTCCAAATATGTTCATCCCTAGTAATGTCAAAATTCTTTTTTAGAGAATCTCTTTGGCGCATTTTTTAAGCAACTTCCGATGTAAACTACGGAGATTTCTTTTTCCCTAGACGTTTTTTTTTAAAGGGAGCATCTTTATTGATCACCAACGTAAGTTTATTTACCCAGTTGTACCACATTTCGTTAGGATTTTCACAATGGGAAGCCTCGTCAAACTTTAACTCATTTAAATCATATAGGAAATTGGCTTAATTCCTTAAATTGTTTGAAATCTCTCCTTATCACCGGTTTATTTATCTGCCACTTAAAGTAGCTGGACTTGCAAACTAAGTAAACAAGTGAATGGTCACTGATAGATACCTAGTGAAAAAGTACCAGATGCTGTTATTTTATCAGGAAAATTGGTAATACATTAATCGATTAGAGTTTGCGAAGTTAAAGTTATTCTGATAGGTTCTGTAATCAGTTAATGAAAGTCTTAAATATATAAAATGTTTAAAAGTACGGAAGTGTTAGAGTCGGGCGACCCTGAGAGCATATTCCAATTTATGTCGCCAAGCTGATGAAATTCGGAGTTTTCAACATCAATTTTATCCATTAAAACCTCAAAGTGAGAAAAGAGATCAGGAGGAGAACTTGGAGGTCTGTACCAAGTACCGACAAGAAACGGGCTAGAGCGAGGGTTAGTAATTTCAATTACGAGATATTCAAGGTTGTCATTTAATAGATCCTCGCGAATACAAAAATACAAGATGCTTCGCAAATATATACAAGCTCCACCGCCACTTCTACTGTTCTGGCCACTATGGCCCTTAGATACTTTCTAGATACACTTTAATATTATTCACTCGTTTTCGCGGTATTTTTCCGTAATCGCATCTCATTATTAGCGAGCCAAGGGGTATTTTTACCAGTTTTTTTCTGGCTCGGTTCTCACGCCTTAGTGAGCATTCTTTTTTTTTACCAAAAGCGAATAAAAGCATCGTTTAAACTTATTCGTCTGTTATACTACTGTTGAAGGGGACAAGGCCTTTCCCGAAGGAACAGAATGGTAAAAAAGAGTCACTTTTCCGGCGTGTATACATCGAGAAAGACGAACTGACTTCGAAGATATCTTTGTAGCGTGCTCGAAAATCGCTACAAAACGGCTTCAACTACAGAAGAACACGACTGTTTTACAACGAACAGCTCAATGGCAGATAAAACCACCGTCGACAACCCCGAGGTAGGAACACTAGATACTTTTTTATCGCAAAATACGGCTGAAAATACGGTAGAAAAGACGGGTCAAAACGAAATAAACAGTACTAAACCTGGTAAAGCAAGCCCAGAAACGGACGAAAATACTCTGTCTGTCTCGACAAACGACCCATCCTCTCGTCCCAAAAGATCAGTAAAACCCACCGAAAAGTCTATCGAAAACAAAACAGGGTTCAGTCCGATCATTCAAAGCTTGACAAATTGTGGTGAAACACGTCAACTGCTGTGGGCAAATTGCAAGAAACACCCGATTCGATAAATCAAATAAAATCCCATACGTCAGAAGTACGTTCGCTATTCCACGAGTACCACGCTGTTTCTTTGTCGCTCTTAGAGTTTCTCGCTAACCTCGGCGACCCCAAACACCAAAAAGAATACGAAACATTGCAGAAACTCGTAAATAATCGTAGCGAGTACATTCATACAGTAATAAACGAAGCAAACAAGCGGAAAAAGAAACTTTTACTTGAAATTAACTCTGTCCACCATTCCCGAATTTCCCGTAGTTCCCGCAGCTCCACAACGTCCTCCACCGCCGCTCGAGCTCTCGCAAGAGCTGAGGCTACAGCGGCACTAAAGAAGGTAGAAATGCAAAAATGGCGATCATTGCGAGAGTCCCAGTCTGCCATGGAAATACAACAACAAGAACTTGCCCTAGCCCAAAAGAAAATGGAAGAGAAATCCCGAATGGAAAGTTTACTATTAGAAGAAGAAGCAGCAGTCGCCATTGCTAAAGCTCAGGCAATAGATAAAGAACTGAGCCTCGTAGATCATCAAGATCCCGAACACTTTGACCTACCCCAAGACGATCCTGTGGAAAGGGTCCAAAACTATATAAATTCGCAACGCTTCGAAGAATCTAGTCCCCCGGTTCCAAATCACATGTTACAAGACACGCTATTGATTCAGATCAGTTTGCATACAAGGAAGGTCCCAATTCGATTATGGCTCTGATCAAGTGCCAACACACATGGTTAAGATGGTTAGAAGGAGATGCAAAATATGTCAGAGTATTATCTTTTGACTTTCGCAAAGCATTCGATAGCGTTCCACACGATATTTTATGTGAGAAGCTTAAGAAGCTCCCCATCAACCCATATGTTACTAATTGGCTGATTAGTTTTTTGGAGGATAGGAAACAGAGGGTAGTGGTTGATGGAATAGAAACTGAATACTTGAACATTAATCGAGGTGTTTCCCAAGGAACAGTTCTGGGTCCTATCCTCTTTTCGATCATGGTGAATGACATCAAAACAGTTAACCCCATGAACCAGTTAGTTAAGTTCGCGGATGACATGACATTAGAAGTACCAGGGAATGAAAACGGAGATACATCCCAAGCCGAAGTGGACAGTATACCAACATGGTCTGAAAATAATCGAATGTCCTTAAATATGGAAAAGACGTATGAAATGATTGTTAGGAGAAATATCCCTACGCTGTTGCCTGATCCTTTTCCATTTATTAAACGAAGGACGTGGTTAAAGATTTTAGGAATTACATTACAGGATCTCCCTTCCAAGTGGGATTTGCAATTTGATGAAATGTTGAAAAAATCCAGTGCAAGAATGTACATAATGCGTGTCTGTAAATACTATGGCTTCCCAATCAAACAACTGGACATGCTGTTTAACACTTTAATTATGCCTATAATCACTTACGGCATAGAACTTTGGGGAGGCGCATACTTCAATAAATACATTAGTCAAATAGACAAATTCATCAATCGCGCTCACAGAAATGGTTACATATCGGAAAAATTGAATATTAAGGAGATAAGCATCAAAAGGGACAAGAAACTTTGGGATAAAGTAATACATAATAAAGATAATGCACTACAGGAGCTTTTACCAGATAAATTAAATTGACACCTTAGGCCAAGGGGACACGAGTTTGAACTTCCGTTAGTGAGAACAGTGCGATTTAAAAGTTCTTTTGTAAATCGATGTTTGTTTAACTTTGTTTAACCAATTTTAACCTTTACCTTTTTAACATTATTAATATTTTTATCCATAACTGTATATATCTAGTTATTACCTAAAAAATATCAATAATTTTATCTTATATATTTTTATAATGTAAACTCACAGACGGGTGTTCTTGAGTATGAATCACGCCGGGTCAGCTCTTCCCAAAAATCGGCCATTTGATATAAACTTTTTCAATATATTTCGGATGGACATGAAACTTGCTACATCAATATAACTTTCCATTCCGAACAATCGTATGTTTTTTATTTTTGAGATTTAACGGTTTTTGGCGGGAAAATGACGTCACGAAACCTCCAGTTAAAATTTATTTTCAATATCTTAATAGTTTTTAAGCAGAATGTGGAAGATCATGTCATGAAGAGTTGAAAACTGAAAACAGATTTTAAATATCTTAATCTAATCACGAGATACAGGGAGTTTAGAATCGAATTTTCCACCATTTTGTTACTATTTATAGATTTTTCACGGTTTTTATAGTGAAATAACTTTGGATTAGGTTTAGATATTTAAAATCCGTTTTCAGTTTTGAACTGCTCATGATATGTTCTTCCAAATTCTGCGACAAAACTATTAAGATATTGAAAATAAATTTTAACTGGAGGTTTCGTGACGTCATTTTCCCGCCAAAAACCGTTAAATCTCAAAAATAAAAAACATACGATTGTTCGAAATGGAAAGTTATATTGATGTAGCAAGTTTCATGTCCATCCGAAATATATTGAAAAAGTTTATATCAAATGGCCGATTTTTGGGAAGAGCTGACCCGGCGTGAATAAAGACTGTTATTATTATTATTATTATTATTATTATTAAATCATGTCATCGGCCTACAACTCCCACAGGATACCAACCATCCTATACGAGAAAAACCACTCAACCGAAGACTAGACCCAACGGCCAACTCGTTTATCCCTCAACCACAGAACTCTCGGACAGACCCCAGTACAAATGCTATAAGCTCATACATCCAATTCATGGCACGCAGAGAGCTTATCGCTAATAAGATTCAGAGATTTGACGATAATCCCAGAAACTTTTACGGTTGGAAAGAATCCTTCAAGAATATGATACGAGACATTCACCTCTCCCCCAGCGAAGAGCTATCACTCATCATAGAGTATACCAGCAACGAATCAAAGAAACTTGCTCAACGGCTTCGAAACGCATATATCAACAAACCCACTGAAGGCGTGGAGATACCATGGCAAAACTTAGCCAGCGGTTTGGTTCCAACGCTGTTATAACTGAAGTACATTTGAACAAACTGAAAGATCTGCCAAAAATCGGATTTAGAGATAACAAGAAACTCCAAGATCTCGGAGATTTGCTCTTAGAATTGCAGTGCGCTAAGAATGACGGCGGATACAGAGGCCTCAAAATCCTCGACGAGCCCGCTTACATTAAACCTGTCATTGCGAAGCTCCCTGGCGATATCCAAAGCAGATGGCAAAAGCACGCCTTTCGATATAAGAAACAACACGTCGAGGTAGACTACCCCCATTTTCCGAGTTTGTCACATTTATCCAGGAGTTGTCCCTCGAAAGAAACGATCCTAACCTGATCATAGAGATTCCCGAGAAGAACAACACAGGTATGCGAAACCCGAGCTGGCGACAAGAAATTAGTGTAAAGAAGACTGAGATCGAGGCCCAAGATCGCAGAGTCGGACACGATCCCCCACCTCGTAACCCTACGAACTGGTGCATTGTCCACCACAAAGGGCACCCATTAAGCAAGTGTAGAGCTTTCCAAGCCAAGCCACTCGATGAAAGAACTACAATACTAAAAAAGAACAGAGTATGCTTTCGCTGTATCGCATCGTGCGATCACCTTGCGAAGGACTGCAAGGCCAAGGTCGTGTGCACCGAATGTGGGAGCAACAAACACCTCGCCGCTTGACGGTGAGCAAAGGCACGGCGGGGAGCAGGTAGCAAATAAAGACCAATCCGATAATGGCGCTAACCCTCGACAAAACCAGCACGCGGGAGAAATTACAACCAAATGCACCGAAATATGCGGGAATTCCCCCGGTGGGAAATCATGCTCAAAAATCTGCCTAGCTAACATATACGTCACCGGACATCCAGAAACCAAAGTGAAGGCGTACGTGGTAATCGATGATCAGAGTAACAGCTCTCTAGCAAAATCTGAACTGCTCGATCGCCTAAACGTTCACAGTCAAGCAACCTCGTATTCGCTTAGAACATGCGCCGGAACAACTCAGATTCGAGGAAGATGCAGCAAAGATCTTGTCGTAGAGTCTGTGGACGGAAATAAAAATCATCAGCTGTCGAACGTCATCGAATGTAACGCGATCCCTGATTCTAAAGAAGAGATTCTTTCACCAGAGGTAGCCCGAGCTCACCCACATCTACACGAAATTGTTGACAAAATACCAGAGATCCGTGGCGACGTAGACATCCTACTGTTCATCGGTCGGAACGCCCCTCCACTTCAAAAGGTTCACGAATCCCGTAACGGACCTAGAAACGCCCCTTGGGGCGAGCGTCTTGATCTAGGATGGGTCATCATCGGCAACGCTTGCCTGGACGGAGCTCACACACCGAAGCCTTCCTGCTACAAAACAAACGTTCTCGAAAGCGGCCGACCATCAATTTTTTCACATTGCCCTAATCGTTTCCACATCAAAGAATACACATCCACCGTTTCTGCCGTCCCATGCGACGAAAACAACGATCAAAGGAAAAAGACATTCGAAAACGGAAACTTTGACGATGGCCTAGCAGCCAAAGTGTTCGCAAGCTCGAAGGACGACAACAAACCTGGTCCCTCCGTGGAAGACAGAAGATTTGTCAACATAATGGAACATCAAATTGTCAAAAACGAAGCAGGGAACTGGGAGGCGCCACTTCCATTTCGCAACCCGATATCAAGACTACCAGACAACCGCAAAGACACTCTTAAGCGTTTTAACTCCATAAGGCGGACTCTCGAAAGGAAACCGGAAATGAAAAGAGACTATTTTGAGTTTATGCAAAAGCTCTTCAACAATGGTCATGCGGAGCCCGTTCCCGAGAATGACATAGCTTCAAAAGGACCACGGTGGTACCTTCCCCACTTCGGTGTCTACCACCCCCGAAAGCCTGATAAAATACGGGTAGTCTTCGATTCAGCAGCCAAAACCAACGGAGTGTCACTAAATAAGCTACTTCTCTCTGGCCCAGACCTGACGAACATTCTCGTAGGTATTCTCTTGCGCTTTCGCTGCAACACCGTCGCGTTCATGACGGACATCGAACAAATGTTCCACTCCTTTATGGTTCGTCAAGACCATCGAGATTATCTTCGCTTTTTCTGGCATAAAGACAACAACCCCGAAGAAGAAGTGATCGAATACCGTATGAAGGTGCACTTGTTCGGTAACACTTCCTCGCCAGCTATTGCAACATGCGCTCTTAGAAAGACAGCTCTAGTAGGAGAACCCAAGTACGGACCGGACGCAAGAGAGTTCGTACAGAAAGACTTTTACGTAGACGACGGCCTAAAGTCCGTTCCCGATCGCGAGGGAGCCGTCGACCTGTTATGCAGAACCAAAACCATGTTAGCCGACGCCAATCTGCGCCTCCACAAAATCGCGTCCAACGACCCTACGGTAACACAGGCCTTTCCCGTCGAAGACCGAGCTTCCGACCTACGCAATCTGGACCTTCACCGCGACGTAGTATCGATTTAGCGCTCGTTGGGTGTATTTTGGGACCTACAAGCAGACACCTTTACCTTTCAGGTTGTCGACGGAGCCAAACCCTTTACAAGACATGGCGTTCTCACTGTCACCAACAGCCTTTACGATCTTCTCGGAATCGCTGCCCCGGTCGTCATCAAAGCCAAAATCCTGCTGCGAGTAATGACAACAAGCCTGAAACGCCACCCACTTGACGACTGGGACCAACCGCTACCTGAGCAATATAAAGCATCCTGGGAAGCTTGGTGCAAATCCCTCTCAGACCTAACCGAAGTCAGAGTCCCAGGTACCTACGCAAGCGAGTCACTGTCTGAAGCAAGCCGTGTAGAAATCCACACATTTTGCGACGCCTCCACCGAAGCTATTGCTGCTGTCTCATACATCAAAGTCGTCCTGAAAGACGGTCAAGCCCAAGTATCATTCGTGTTCGGCAAAGCTAAGCTGGCTCCATCACACGCCACAACGATTCCCCATTTAGAGCTTTGTGCTGCAGTGCTCGGCGTAGAAATTACGGAGCTGGTTATCGAAGAGTTAGCAGTAAAACCACACTCCGTAACCTATCACACGGACAGTAAAGTTACACGGACAGTAAAGTTACACCTCCCTCCACCAAAATCAATGTATCCACGACCACTAATGATGACTCCAGTTCATCCCCTTCAGTATTTACGTCGCCCACGCGACAAAATGAACAAGCAGTATCCCCCAAATTACCTTCCGAGGCCATGGTTACCCCAACCCTGGCCAACACACCCACCATTTCCACGTCGTATGTAACTCGTGATAACAATTTCCCGCTCCCTACCCTGCTGGTGGCCAATGTCCGTTCTATGATTAATAAAATAGACGAACTAGAGTTGGTAGCTCAAATTAACCAAGTTGAGGTCATATGCATTACTGAATCTTGGCTTAACACCTCTGTTGTGGACTCAATGATTTCGTTATCGAACTTCATCCAATTCAGAAATGATCGCACATACTCCTGCGGTGGCGGCGTTTCCATTTATATTAAAGAAGAAATTTACTGTAGGAGGCTCGAGTATTTCGAGGATTCAGCCATTGAATCCCTATGGTTACTACTTAGACTTAAGCGTTTACCAAGATCTATATCCGCTCTTCCACTTGCAGTCATTTACCACACCACCTCCTCCGGCGCCAACGAGAACTTTGAACTGTACAACCATATCCAGCGTAATGTCGAATCCTTCCTTTCTCTGCATCCTGATGGTCTCGTGTTTGTGACTGGGGATTTCAACCCTGTCAGTACATTATTTGATGAAAAACGGTTGAAAAGATTGTCCGGTTTAACTCAAATTATTAATGTCCCAACACGTCACAACGCCATATTGGATTGGTGTCTCACAAATGCCAAGAAAGTCGTTTTTTATGTAAGCCAGCTTCCTCCTATTGGCTCGAGCGACCATAATGCCATTTTAATAAAACCCCATAAAGATCGTCTGGAGAATTCGTGTAATAAACGAGTATGCAAAAGAGATTTAAGAGATAGCAGTATAAGACATTTTGGTCAGACTATTACATCTACCGATTGGACGGAGATATTCGAAATACCTGATCCTAACATGAAGTACCGGAGATTTAATGAGGTAGTTTCTGCAATGATTGATTGTTTTTTCCCCAATAAACCAACTAGTGTTAGGGAATCTGATAAACCATGGATGACGTCATCGCTTAAGTCCTCCATTAGTAAGCGACAAAAATCACTTCATAAGTACGGAAGAAATTCACAAGCATATAGATTTTGGCGCAATAGAATTCAACGGGATGTTAAAGTGGCACGTAGAAAGTACTATGCCAATTCCGTGCAGAAGTTGAAAAGTGCAAACCCTTCCAGATGGTGGAAAGAGGTTAAATCCATAGGAGGCCTCTCTTCTCGGGAATCTTGGGTACATCAACTACTTTCTGAAGTAAACCCAAAACCTGTGAGGACCTTGCTGAGTCATATAACGGATATCTTGTTGGACTTACTTCGCATTTTAACCCCTTGTTAGAA